GCAGTCGAGGGTTTAGGGTTCGTTAGGCTGCCTTCTTTGATCATAGAAACCCTCCATCATGTTGACCTCAATTCTTAAACCCTAAACCCTAAACCCTAAACCCTAAACCCTCATGGCGAGCTTCGTGAGGGGCCCCTGGGGCCCCCCCAGGATCATCGCCAGGGCCCCCCCCCAGCGTGGCGCAGCAGCAGCAGCAGGAGCTGCTGCTGCTGCTGCTGCTGCACACACCAGCGCTGCCTCCAGCAGCAGCTGCAGCATCAGAGGGGATCGCAGCAGCAGCAGCCACAACAGCAGCAGCAGCAACAGCAACAGCAACAGCCACAGCAACAGCAGCAGCAGCAACGACCATAGTATAAGCAGCGGGAGAAGCAGCAGCAACAGCAGCAGCAGATACCACAGCAGCACCACCAACAACAACATCAGCAGCAGCAGCAGCAGCAGCATTCCGAATGTGATCACCTTCCCTCTGCCGCTGCTGCTGCAGCAGCAGCAGCTCCCGCAGCAGCAGCAGCAGCAGCAGCAGCAGCAGCAAAGTGTATTTGTTCGTCGCCTTCCTGGGCGTCCGCTGCGCCTGCAGAAGCTGCGCCCGCTGCAGGTTCCTCCCAAACCCAGCAGCAGCAGCAGCAGCAGCAACAGCAGCAGCAGCAACAGCAGCAGCAGCAGCAGCAGCAGCAGCAAGAAGCAGCAGAAAGGGGGCGTGAGACATGTCTCCGAGATGCTGTGCAGGCTGGCGAGGAGACAGCTAAAAAAAGGAGACACCGCGGCTTTTCTTGCTTCTATAGAAGCTGCTACTGTAAACCCTAAACCCTAAACCCTAAACCCTAAACCCTAGAGCAGAGATGCCAGTGTAAACCCTAAACCCTAAACCCTAAACCCTTTTGCGTTGGATGCGGAGCCATGTCCCTTATCTCTCTCTTTGTTTTTTTTTCTGTTTGTTGTTTAAAAAATAATAAACAGAAATTTATATATATATATATATATATATATATATACATATATATATATATATATATATA